CAATTGAGCATTGCAGCCTCTTCCGAAGGGGAATAAATCAATCAGTGTTCCAGGCAGGTGATCAAATAAATTAAATTCCTCAATTATTGCTAGGAAGCCAAAACCATAGCAAAGGCCATAAACACTTTGGCGTCGAGACCATAGTAATTGCCATGAGTGAGCAGATTTTCCAGCCCATTTGGTAGTTGTGCGTCAATGGAGAACGGGGAACTTAATTTGCAAAATATGCAAAACTTTACAATAAATACAGAATACAGAATTTGGTACGCCGCGTATCGCATCGATTCGCCACTCAAACTGATTGCGAGGGAAGTGAAAAACTGCAAAAGGAAGCACAAACAAAACCGAATTGCGAGTTTCCCATTTTGGCATAACGATTTTCCCTCTTTTCATTTTCTCTTTTTTGTGAACTGTGTTCGATGACAGGCAAAACGAGGCGAGCGACAATTAAAACCGAAATAAAAACAAAAACCGAGAGAAATTGTTAGGCGATGATGTCCGAGATGATTCCGCACGATACGTCACAGAACATTCAACGTTACTCGAGTGGAAACTGCGCTCCACCTAATGAGGGGGTGTTCCCCCCAGGAAAGGGGACTGTCTGCGGATTCTTTGGGTCGGAGTAAGTCATGTTCAGGTGCTGCGTGATTTGAATGGAATCTATAACCTTTTCCCAGTGGTTGAAAAAGGAATGTTGGTTACCACAGGAAAGAAATATCCAGGTAAGGAAAGAGCTTTAATGTTTAATTAAGTAGAATTACATAAAATTTAATATTTTTTATAAACCAATTAAGTGTAGTCACGCTGCCATCACTAATCCGAAGGACTCAAGCAACAAACCGACTGAACACAAATTTTATGCGACCACGCGCCATTTGATTTCCCTCGAAAAAGGGAAAACCAACAGAGAAACGGGTGGAGAGTAGAGTAAAGTGGAAATTCAAATGGAAATACTTGAAGCGGTTGCATCGACCAGTTTATCAAAAAGATGCTCCCGAAAGATTTCGCCCCCTCGAGTTATGCATTTCTTTCTAATGAACTCCCGGCCTTTCAGCGCTTTCCTCTTGGCTCGGCTCCTCCGCCTTTCCCGAGCAATAAAAATCGTAATGGAGCAGGGAACATAAAACAGAACGCCGCAGTGGACGCAGAGCCTTTTGGAGCGGGCCGAGGTGAATTTTATGCGCGTAATTAGCAGCAATTAGGGCGGAGGGGGCGTGCGGATATTCAATATTCGGTAAACAGAGCTTAACATGGACTCAGGCCATTCATTAATGTCTGACGGCAAATTATTTCTGTTTTCCCCGTGTGTTTGCCTTCTTCTGTATCTCTTTTTGTACCTTTTATTCACACGCCTCGAATGGCATTTGCGAAATGCAAATTACGCTAAGCAAATTAGCGCGGAAGCGCCAAAGTGCAAGAAAAGAAAAAAACAAGAAAGGAAAGGGGGAGTGAATTCGAGTGGGGTGTGCGCCAGGGAAATTCAAGACAAATTAGCTGGGAATGTACAATAATGCGCCATATGCGGGTGCACAATGCCAAATGAGCTGCGAACGCCGTTGCAAATAAGAAAACTAAGTAGCCACAGAGGAGATATTTATGGAAATGAATTCAGGTGACTCACTGGCGTAGGAAAGACCTACAGGAAAGTGTCAGGGAAAGGTTAAAACTGGGTTAAAGGTTCGCATTACTTGTATTCTAACCAAATTGTAAGCCGAGTTGGTTTGAATGGGTAAATATTCTTCCATTGCAAAATAGCTCTTTCTAAGTCATCGTAGTGCTCTCGAGCTAACTTCTTGACACCTCCGAGTCGTTACAATTAAATGTGAAATATAACCGCGGAGCAGGCTGTGCAGGTGCAGCCTCTGAAGACCTAGTTAAGTTGTTAGAGTGCACAATAAACTCATTCATAAGTCTGGCGTAAAGTCTCACAGCAATTTAGCCAAAGTCTTCACACCGCGACGGATTCGCCCACAAATCAAATTGCAATCCCCGAGAGCCGGGGAAAGCTGGACTGGGTTGGGTTTTACCTGAGAAGGGTTATATTGGTGCACTCGGAAAAAAACCTACAGCAAAAGCTTAGTGACATAAGATATAAATAAGTTTCGAGTGACATATCTATCGCTTTAAATTTCATTGGAAGATATTTTTGAATCCTTCTTGTAAGGGATATTACTCGGTGCCTACTCGTAGTAAATATTTTGTATTTATTTTTGCGAGTGCTGGGAGGGAAACAGGAAACGCGATGAACAGACCGACACCTGGCCTTTCTGCTCATGACAAACTGCCACTCCAGGCGTGCCTGGGAAAGCGGGAAAAGCGGTGGGCAATTGAAAAATGACGCCCGGCCAGCCGGTGGAAATGCATTCAGCAAATGAAGCCGGCCCAAAAGCACGTGAACCGAGCAAACAAGCCTCAAAAAGGGAGCATCAGCAGCTGTGGGAATCCAGTTTCAATGCGACCAATATGTCAATATGCAGACTGCTGTTTGAGCCCATTTTTTGCCTCTTTTGCCCACTATATGTTCTATTAGCGATCCACTAATTGCAAAAATTTGTTTCGCATTTATCCGGTGAGCCGTCGACAAATAAAAGGCCAAAAGCGAGAGCGCGCGTGTGGTTTTGCTGCTTTATGATCATTAAATATTTGACAAATGTTATCAGCGATTTGGTTATCGGTTACCTGATGCTGAAATAAACTTATAAAACGGTTTGTGTTGACCCTCAGCTCTAGGCCCTAATTGAAAACGGCAATCGGAGTAGAAAAATGTAAAAAACGCACACACATTTTACCCCTTGTTTGTTTATGTTATTTGCCCTGGGTAAAGTTGCATTGGCTGCGATAAGCAGCGAAATCACAACTGATAAAAAAAATAAAAGTCAAATGAACAGACATCAGAGACAAACAACAGAATGTTATGTAAATAGTAATGAGATAAGGGAAATAGTAAGCTGAAATGGAGTTTTCCTTTGGCCAATATGGAATAATATGTGTCAACTAAAATAAGTATTTTTATCTTCAAATATTAATAATAAAAATAAATTATTTTCTGTTCTTATAAATATTGCAATTCGAACCTTATTTAACATTCAGGAATTCATTAGCTTTAAGTGCATTCGATTTTTCCGATGCACTATATATTGAGTGATTTTAGTGAAAAATGCAAAGTCCACTTTATTCGTCTATTATATGTATACCACTCAAATGAATCACGTTTCATGCTGTGTCATTCCACTATCAAACATTCCTCTTCATTTTAGTTGATAAGAAACAACACAGAAAATTACTTCGAAATGAGAATGTTAGGATAAAAATGGCAGCCAGCTAACTTGTCAGTTTGGCAGTGTTATCTGCCAAAAAAAAAACAAAACAAAGAACAACGAACCAGAGTTTTTGCACAACTTTCATCGAAGAAAACCGTTAACCGGCAACCGTTAGCCCTGATTTAATTAGAAGATTTTAGCTTGCTTGCTACAGTTTATCAAACTCTGAAAACAACACACGATTTTAACATCAAACTGTGACCATGGCTGGTATTTCATTTTTTCCCTCGTATGTTTCTTTTACTGGCTCTTAAAGCAGGTTTTCCATTTGGCCTTTGGCATAAGCCACACACTGAACTACTCGAGTGCCCAGCAAAAGCCGCACAAGTCGCTCGTTTGAATGTTTGGCTTTGTGTGTCAGTGTTTAAGCCATACAAATATGAGTAAAGGTACAGTGGATGCGTTTGAAATTGGAAAATAAATGTTTGGTTTTATTGTCTTGCTTTGAATTAGGGTAATACTCTTACAGCCAATCATTACTAGTACATAAGAAACTCTTAAATTAAAGTAAAGCACGTTCCCTTTATCTAGTGTCTACCGTTTGAGGTAAAGTAAAACGTCGAACAAGAGAAATATGCATGATGTTGTAGCTGCTGTTGTTTTTTGTGATTATTCCTCTCTTTTTGTGGCTGCTGCGCGTAAAATCAATAAATTCGAGCGGGTTCAGAGGTGACGACAACGTCGAAAATGCTTATGACCTTCAGGCCTCCCGCTGACCTTCGCAATGGCCCCTGGCCCCGCCCCGCCCCTTTTATTCCGTGTTACCGTTTTCCGCCTTGGCAATTAAATTTTGTACGTAACTTTTTACACTCTTGCTGGCCGGCACTTCTTAATTATCGTTGTTAAGCTGGTTATGGTTTGTTGGCGCTTTTATGCCTTGGCCTTTTCTTTATTTTTTGTTGAAATTTATTCCCCAGCAGTGGCATTCATTAATATCTTGCCTTATTTGCTGCCCTCGCTTCGCTCTTTTGGTTATTGATATTAATAAAACTTTTCTTTCTTCAGAGACCAGAAAACAAATCCGCCAGCAATCGTTGCTCAACAAGTTACGTCAGAGGGGCAAAATGATGCGTTGGTGGAGAACTCAAATGTTTTGCCCGGATCCCTGAATACAAAACAAAAGATTAAGCTCCGAGGGATTAGGATTACGTCCCTGTATGCCAGGCAAACAAGTACACGGAAGTCTTTGGCAAAGTAAAGATAAGCGGAAGAATTATGGAACTTTACTTTAACAAATATGCCTACGTAATTGCCAAAACTTTAATAAAATGTTTAAAGTTTGTTTGTGTTGATACCAACCAAATGTTTTAAAAATAACAACATTCAACTGTAATAGTTATGAATTCGATGTTCCTAAAAAAAAGTTCTTTAATATTTTAGGAGGTAATTAAACTTAATTGCTTTTTGGTTTCTATTTTTTATTTTTATTTTAAGAAGGTTGCACTAAATGTTGGTTGACCAACTTACTTTAATTGCAGAGTTTGACTTTAACTGGAAGCCAGCAATTTAATATATTGGATTGCCTTGAACTTATGAACCTTGCGTTTGTGTTTCTGCTATTTTGTGGGTGAGTTTTGTTTTTTAACTATTTAGTTGGCAATAGGGAATTATTAACTACTTAGAATATACTAAGGAGTTATCTCTTTTTTAATGGCGGATCTTGGTTTTGAGATTACTTACCATCTTTAGCGTTTGTGGCCGCCATTGTTGTTGTGGTGGCCATAGTTTTATTAGTTTTTGATTTTGTTGTTGGTGTTGTGGTGGCAGAGGCCGCTGCCGACGCCGACGTCGCTGCTTTGTAGAAAGCCGTGGTTGTTGTTGTTTCCAGGGCGTCAGCAGCTGACAAACTTCGCGAACAGTGCATTAGTCACCTGTTTTTTACAGGTGCAAAAGGGGTGGCAAGTGGGTGGTTGTGTTTATCAGCTGATAAGAGGGAAAAAACGCGAAATTTTATAGTGACCGGGGAAAGGGGTGAGGAAATGCTGTTGGGTAAGCGGAAACTGCACAAAATCTAACCAAGGCAACATAACAAGATCACTAAAAGCTTGAATTCTTTTTAATTTGTTTATTTAATTCTTTTCTTTTCTTTTAAGATAAGATTCGATAATTTCACCTCCTATAAGATTTAATTTTAATATTTCGATTTGCTGTTTGGGTGATTTCGGGTAATAAATATTGCCTGGTTGGTTTTTGTGTTTTTTTTTTTTTTAGAAATCAAATCTATAGATTAATATTTTCGGGTACTTTTTGCTTGTGTTTTTTGGTTCACTTCATTGGGCAAAACTTTCTATTTTTCTCTTTTTTTTCGTTTAACATATTTTCAGCGCACCTGCAGCCGACGTTATGTATAATTAAATTTATAAATTTTTTTTTAATTATTGGGGCCTTTCTTCTTGTTGTTTTTATTTCATTTTGGTTGCATGTGCGTCGGTGTTTATGTGTTTGTGTATTCGCGTATGTGTGTGTTTATACGAATGTTGGTGCACTGTGTTTTGTTGTTGTTGCCAGTGACGCGAACGCGTGCTTTACCGCTCGCACCTGCACGTTTTGACTGGCTCGAAATGTTGCCGCACGTTTCTAGCAGCCGCCGCACATGTTTTCGTTATTTAAACGCGTTTATTTCTTTATAATTTAACAATTGTTTTTTTACGGCGACTCGCGGAGCGAGCTCGAATTTGGTCACACCACATCGCAAGTGAGGCCGTGCGTAGCCCTGTCGCAAAATACCAGGCGGCGCAAAAATACCAAAGCACGTAGCTGAAAATACTGCATGCGTCTAACAGCACACACATAACAGCACTCTGTAAATTTATATATATTTAAAAAATCGAAAGAGATTATATCCTGCTTTTGCTGTATTTATTTAATGCTTGTAAAAAAATGGAAACAGGATCGAACATTTAAATACAAAATACAATTCACCGTAACATATATATCTTACTATCACAACAACATCCTGCCATCTGCACATCTGGCAACGCGGTGACAAATTTAAAAAACCGTTACACTAGGCTATTTCAAACTTAATTAATCTTATGCATTTAGATTCCTTTGAATAGTAACTTTAAACAAAAAAAATCTAGAATGCAAAAATTGTAGAAGAGATCATATAAAAAAATTACCACTAATAAATGTGTTTTACTTCAGTACAAGATTGATCAATGTTATTTGCAAAATTGAAACACTTTTGAACCCTTGGCGAATTTCCGAATTTTATTGTTTCCAATGAAAAAGGCGACCTTGGCAGACACTTTTCACACTTGTTGGCCAACTTGGCCAAAACGGTGACCTTGACAGCAAAATATGACACAAATATTCGGACAATAAATCGCAAACGGCAACAACAAGCGGCTTAGTCCGATAAGTGAGGTAATTTCGGATGACGAAGATCACCCGACTTCTCCCACTCGCTCCCAGTTTTTTTTGTCACCCACTTTGCGCGGGTATTTATTATTGTTTTTTATTTGTTAGTATTCCGCACGATTGTTGAGTGAAAGTTGCCACCGTTTAGAGTGATGTGTTTTTTGTTGCTGCTGCCACGCCCCGTCCGCCTTATCGTCACCTGTCGCTGGATGTGAGTGAGGTGTTAATTCGACAGTCAATTGTGTAAAAAGAGTGCGGCTAACAATTGCATAATACCCAGGCTGAAACCGAAACTCGAGCAAATTTTTAGGGCCATCGGATCACGAAAAAAAGCACTTAGCCATCAAACAACTCCAGGAAAAGCCATAAAAATCGACAGAACCGAAATGGGGTTTTTTTCGGATACTGGAAAACGTGTTCTCCCCGTGCCGAAATCAATTTGGAGCTGCAGAATTGAAAGCCACAAGCTGGGGGTCATAAAAGCACATGAAAGATCGCTTACGAGATCCCAGAGCAAAGTCAATGTCCTTAGCAATCCACTTCGATCTTTGATTTCTTTTGATGCCCTCGAAAAGAGCATATTTCTTTTGTAAACATTAGTCTTAAGATATAGTTATTCATAAATAAAAAAATTATTAAAGTCAATCCATATATAATACCTACTAGGTTTAAAATATTTAATTTAGATTTAAAGACTTGAAAAGATTCTTTAAAACGTATTTGAAAGGGTATTCCAGCCTTGTATTCCAAATCACGATTTACTCACTCGGTTCTTTATGATCTTTGCTTGTGTATCGTTTTAGCCCTTGCAGGTTTGGCCTGTTTGCAGAGCTCTTGTTGGCCAAAGGGCCAAGAACGAGTTCTGTCCGCCGATCGAGTCGCAAATGGACCGATCGATCAGCGCATGAAAGTGCCATGCGAACAGGAGATAAGTTTTCCTTCTAGTCACTGCGGCGTTTTCTCCGCCATCGAATGACCCATTTAACTACATTCAAATGGACTCATTTGCATAGAACACATTCGGATTCGGATTCGGATTTTGGTTCGCCGCCCTCGTGGGCGTTTGTTTCGGTTTCCGTGCATTTCTAATGAATTATTAACCCAGAACCGGGGAAAACGCATCCCAGAGGTGCATCTTCCCTGCAGAGACAGTCGGGCCAAAGCTAATTGACTCTAAAAATAGCCGGAGCAGGTTTCTCCGTCTCCGTCTGAGTCTGGGGAACGGGTTTCCACCGAAGACCAAAGAGCCAAGCAGCAGAACGGCGGCCCAAATGGGTTTCTTGTAGGAGCGTTTAACCAAACAAGAAAACGAGAAAAATCTGCCGATCAAATGTCGCTGCTGCGATCGAGTCAACGAGGAATGATAGTGAAAAAGGTGGAAAAGCAGCAGAAAAAGGGGGAGTTATGTACACAGGCCGCTGATCATCGACCGATTCCAATGCAGACTAATGGCCAATAGCCGCACAGTAGGACGATGCCAGGAAAAAGTAATTAAATTTCATGTTGATAAATTTTTAAATAAAATTTTATGGCAAAAGAGATTATAATATCAGCATGATTGCTTATGCATAACATATTTGTTCAAAAAAGTACAAAAACTAGATTAAATATATGAATGTTTCTCACCTCCTCGTACATATTGTAAATATTTAAAGTAAATAAGGATTTACCGTATGCAGGAATAAAATACATAGGTTTACGTTTGCTAAAATAGAAGGTCCCTAAATAAACACGGAATTATTTATTTAGGATGCAGGCAATAACTTTTCCAATTTCTAGATAAGAAAGAATGTAATGGTTTTTAGTTATTTGTAGAAGTGATTTTTTTGGCTATACCTATCTGCAATCCTTGTTATGTTAACCAAATACTGATGGCCGATAAAGCAAACACGATTGATGACGGCTCTGCGGTTTTAGCCACTTTTGTGCCCCATCCGCTTGGCCAATTACAAGTGCAGCTTCTTGTGCAACCTCTTGGCCAAAACCCTTTTAATTCCCGGTTCCTTTTGCCAGTCGAGTCCAGCCTGGTCCAGTTCAATGACATTCGGGACAGGAATTGGCCAAGCCGCCGGCGTTGATACTGCCACTTTTCTCCATCTCTTTTCATTTTAGCCCTGTTGGCTTGTTTGTCTGCCAACAAAGTTGACTGCGACTGCGCAGCCGGCGGTTTGTATAAAATGCGTTGGGCCTAAAGAAATTTCACACAGTTGCGGCCGAGAGGCGCTAGTGAACATATCTTGAGATTGAAATATATATTTTAAATAAGAATTAAATAGTACTTAAATCGTTGAAATGAAGCCCGTTGCCTTGATTCTGGTTTTCCTGGCTTTAAGCCAAGGCAGAGTGCTCAACTTACCCAAGGAGGCGGTTGATATTCCCGTGGCCATTATCGAGGACAAGGAGTCGCCAGTGGCCTTACCTCTGGTGAAGGAGGAGCCCAAGCCAGAGGAGCAGCAGCCCATCATTCCCGAGGAGAAGGCCAAGGTACTGAAGGAGGAAATTAAACCCGAGATCAAGGAGGAGATCAAGCCAGAAATCAAAGAGGAGGTTAAGCCTGAAATCAAAGAAAACAAAGAGAAGATCAAGGAGCAGATTGAGGAGCAGATTAAGCAGCAGATCAGCGAGAAGCTAAAGGAGAAATCCCTGGATGTCAAGGAGCAACCTCAGGAAATCAAGGAGGAAGTCAAACAGGAGATCCCTGAGATCAAGGAGGAAATCAAACCAGCGGAGGAACCTGTTAAAAAGGATCTGAAGAACCTGCCAGCCGAGGAAGCAGTTGCTGTGCCCGCCGAGGAACCAAATCCGTTGGATCAGGAGCAGCCGGAGAACCAGGATGGAGTCCAACCCCAGGTGCGCCAGGCCACCCAGGCCACGCCCACCCAGCAGAGCACCACGCAGGGCAACTTCGTGCAGCAGTTGATCCAGAACTCCCCGATCGGCCAGTTCCTCAACCAGTTCCAGCCGCAGCCAGCCAACCAGCCAGCTCCCGCCGCCAATCCCGCTGCACCTGCTCAGGCCCAAGCCGATGACGCCGCTGCCGAGGCTCCGGCCACGCCGGCTCCCACGGTTCCCGGCTTCCTCAATCCCCAGGCGGCCATCACCTCCGCCCAGCAGGCCGTCCAGAATGCCGCCCAGACCGCCGTGAACGCCACCACGCAGGCCTTCCAGGGCATCCAGCAGTTCGCCAGCAACCTGGGCAACCAGTTCCAGAACACCCTCTCCAGCCTGACCGGCCAGCAGCAGCAGCAGCAGGCGGTGTCCACCACCCCGCGTCCGCCCGGTCCCATCCAGCAGTTCGTGAGCAACGTCTTCGGGGGCAACAACAACGCCACGGCCGCTGCTCCCGCCGCCCAGCAGAGCGGCAATCCCCTCCAGGGAATCATCAACTTCCTGGGCGGCAATCGCCCGCAGAACGCCCCCGCTGCTCCGGCCACGGAGAAGCCCGCCGTGGACGACAAGATCGATCCCGCCAAGGACGAGGTCGCCGAGTTCGTTCCCGAATCCGAGAACGAGGTGCGCACGAGCGGCGAGATCGTGGACGACTCCTTCGAGGAGGCCGGCGTTCCGGCCAACGAGGTCATCGTGGTCAACGACGATGCCGGCGAGGCTGGAGAAGTGGTTGATCCCGTCCAGAACCAGCCAGTGGCCACCGATGCAGTGGCTCTCTAAGAGGTTCCCATCTGGAAGATAACTTACAAACCGACTGATTTTTCGTCCACTCTTTCCGATTTCCATTGAAAGCGAGGGAGTGGATCGGAAAATGCTTCTTTAGTTTTCTAAGTGCATGCACCGCAACAAATTATTTATTTCATACTCAGCCCAGGAATTTATCTATAAAATGAGAGAACACAAATCATTAAATAAAAGAAGTAACTTTACTAAAAAGAGTTTATATTGGGAGAAGAAGTTATTTTGGGAAAAAGAATGGAAACACTCCCAGAAATTATTCAAAAATTATCTCATATTTATTTGAATTACTTCCATTTGTTTTCTTGGTTTATTATTCTCGAGATGTTTTTGGTTTATCTTTGTTTTGTTTCACATTAAGGTGGTTCAATAGCTCAAAATGGTTACTTCAACCGAGACGCGGTAAATGTACATTCATACACATTCATATAAGGCTAAGTATCTGAAGTGTTTCGAACTTAGGCGAGAGAACGAAGGCTTCCAATTTAAACTAGGTGTCGCAGCTGGAGTTGAACTTTTGCCCAAATATTTAAGCTAGTTTCCATATACTTTGATTTTTTTGTTGAAATTCCATTTCAGTTTTCGCTTTTGTGTTTTAGTTATTCTTTAGCTAAGGTTCTGGGGCTCGTGGGCTGCCTTAAGTAATTTTGGGTTTGAGCTGGAGAATGGTTCTACTTAAAGTTAGTTTGGGTTTCTTAGAGGGAAGAAGGGAAACTGGGGCAGTGATTGGGATTTGGGGCAGTGTTCTATTGACTGAAGGGATACTTTTGATAAATTTGTAATGCTGAAAATCGGATCGTTGAGCAGTGAGTTACAGGTGAGGGAGCAAGAGTGATTATGTGATTATCGGAATCGATTTAGTACTTATCCAAGTAGAGTCTTTTTCGAGATTGGTACATGAACTTAATAAGACTTTTGATTTGTTCGATAGTTTCGTAGGATAGTGCGTAACAGGCGGGGGATCTGTGGAGTGGATCCCCGTAACTATAGTATGCAAATATAGCCGGGACCTCCTTCCCTACACGAAGTGGAATTTATGCTAAGTAAACGTTCGTATAAGTTGGCCAAACATAACAGTGTCTTAAAGCATTTGCTCTGGCATTTCGCTCAGTGTATATGTACGTGGTAAAGTAATCGAGATATAGAGATATAGATAGCAGCCGTACACGGGTGTAAATATCGAGTAAATATCGAGGCATTCAATATAATTTTGATTGGTGTGGGGTTACTTTGGATAGAAAGTACTTGGTTCGTTCTTCTGAAGCCGTTCAATGTTTTCTGTGTCTTGTGGGTCGGGTATACACGAATAGGTGAATATATATGTTATGTTTATGTATATATAGATGTAAATATATGTGGGTATTACAATCATATGTCTGTTCAGATACGTTTACAATGCAAGTGTGTCCGTGTCTGTATTTGGTTTCCGTTTCCGTTTCCGTTTCTGATTCTGTTTCTGATTCTGTTTCTGGATGAACGTGTATATAGCGTGGCTAATATATAGTGTCTTTGATTTAGCAGTTAGCAGAGGATTACAGTTCTCTATATAAAGGTCATCTAATAGGCAGGAATGAGTACAGTTTTTTTCCGGCAAAAAGGTACAATACTTGTATATATAGTTTCGATATACTGATCGGGTTGGCTACAAAGCTTAGCGCTAAGCTTCTGCTGCTGGACAAAAGGCTCGAATCGAATCGAATCGAAAACAAATCAAAGGTCTGAAACTCTCCCCTCGTTTTTGGTCGCTTTTATAAAAATAAAAATCCACTTCCGCTCCTCACACTACCAAAAAATATTGCACAATCGGAATCTAGAAAATATAAAGCGCTTATCAAATATCAATCGTCCATAGCGTAATTATCTGTATATCCCTATAAATATAATTTATGTATATCCGTTGTAACCTAAGCTTGGTTTGGGTTTGGGTAAATTTTCGAATTCTTGTGGGTTATATTAACATGCAGACATCAAAAAGTTACGCGATTTAGTTTATGTGTATAATTTCAGTTATATCGTAAGAGTAACCATATCATATGTCTTAGATTTGCTTTTGGTTTTAGCTGCGATTGCTGGGGTGCCTTTGGGGCGTTGGTTTTCAATGGAAAGTAAAAAAAAATTGAATTAAGGGAAGACATTTTGAGACAATATCATAGATACTATAAATCAAATTCATAAATTTAAATCACAATTTTAAGAATGATGATGTTGGAATGTTGGATTAAGAAAGTTAATAGAATAGAAATTTAATTATAATTGCAAAGTAACACAAGTTATAAATCCAGTTAAAGAACCAATAAACCAACGCCCCAGATATTTCTCCCCCGATTGTTCAGATTATCATCCTAAGTAGTGTAGCTCCAAAGCAACTTTAGCTAGCTTAGATCGTAGATTGTGGTGTAAGTATTACATTTATCGTACATATGTATAGTATCATTGCTATTAGCATGTGTCCTTGGCTTCCTGGCTTCTGGGAACCCGTCGCCCAACTTAAGCGCTGCTATATCGACTTGTAGAATGCGGAGATACGAACTAAAGGTAGCAAAACTAGACTAGAATACAGTTTGGTTTTGGTTTCCTCCTCGAGTGCGTGGCGAGTTCCGTGACCCCGGTTGCTTATAAATTCGTTTCAGTTCTGTGGGGTGGCAGGACTCCGGCGGCGGACGACTGGGTGCTGCTCTTGGTGGCCACGGCTCCGCCGGGCGTGGCCATCCGCACCCGTTCCCCCACTCCGGGACCCAGAATCCTGCGCTGCAGCAGGCGAGTGGCGGATCCAGAGGCCTGAATCACGCCGGGATTCGCCGATCCGTGGCCGCCGTTCATGGACCACTCGTTCTGCTTGAGGAGAAACTGCTTGACGTTGTACTCCATCTGGGCGATGTCCACGTGCTGGGTGGTCGTGTGCAGCTCCGCCTGCACGGAGCGCGTCTTGTCCGTGTCATTGGGGTAGTACTTGTAGTTCAGGATATCACACGTGGGCTGTTCCGGGCAGACGAGCGCCTCCGACCCCGAGGACGTGGACTCCCCGGCGGGGCTGGTCTGGTCGTTCGGCGGTGTCCCCGAGATGGTGGTGTACGCCACCGGCAGTCCCGACCTGGTGGTCCTCCTGTAGTAGGTCGTGCACATCTCCGCCTTCTTGGGCGGAACCGCAGTGCTTCCCATTGGATTCTCTGGCAGAGAGTTGCTGGTGATGTCCGTCTTGGGGGACAGGGAGTCCTCGGTGGACTTCTCCGGATAGCCGTTGGTCAGCTGCTGCGGCGTGGTCTTGTAGCCCGAGTCCATGGAGAGCTTCTCGATGGAGATGGAGTCCATGCGGTCGAGCGTGGAGTACGAGGACTGGCGCTCCGTTCCCGAGTTCGAGTCGCTGGTGGGCGGCGCCTGCTGCAGGTTGCGCTGCTCCAGCTGCTGCGTGTTGTGCTGCACCCACTCCGCCACTCGGCTGAGCTGCTGGCGCCGCAGAAGGACACTTTCCTGGTAGTCGATGGCGTCGCTCAGCGAACTCGAGTTCGCCGAGTGCTTGGGCGAGTTCACTCCGGGATTCGGAGTCGCCTCGCAGGGCTTCACCTCCGCCGACTGGTCGACCTCGGGACTGGGGGACTCCACCTGGGGCTCCAGCACGGGCTGCAGGGCCACGTTCTCGTGCGGATTGGCGGGTCCTTGCCAGGCCTCCACCGCCGACTGCGCGTTGCTCTCCTTGCTGGTGATGATGTCCTTGCCGTCGTTGAGCTCCTCGTCCAGCAGCTTCTCCCGCCGCTTGTAGATCACCGGCGTGTAGGTCTCGATGGACTCCAGGTTGTCCAGCAGGATGTTGCTCTGCCCGTTCTGCTGGATCCGCATGGCGCACAGGCGCGGTCCTCGGTACTTCGGGTTCTCCGCCTGCAAAGGATAAATAGTTTTAGCATACTCTTATTTAAATGCAGTTTTTGATAAAATTAAGTTTTGGGTCACCACTGGCCAGTTTTGGGTCACCACTATAAACTTCTGAATTATTAGGGGTATCCCACTTTAAAATCAAATTAAGGTACTCTACTTCCATTAAAACCCCTTTCCCACCTTGATCGTTTTTATGAGGTTCCTGTTGAAGGTCTCGAACATCTTGGCCCCCTCGCAGCTGCTGGTCTTGTTGCTCCACAGGCTCTGGACGCTTCCGGAGTTCGTGGACTTCAGCTGGGTTCCCGATGGCGCGGCAGGAGCGGGATTGCCTGGAGGAGCCGCCGGAGCAACTGGCTTGCTGGGCGCCGGTTCGCAGACATCCTCCAGCTTCACGGGAGCCACTGTTTGCTGGGGAGGAGCCTGCTCCGCTTCCAGGAGACTTGGCTGCGAGACTCCGGACAGCAGGGGCTTGCTGGACTCGTCCTCCAGCTCATCGGGGACCACTCCCACCGCACTGGCTTCGTACTTGTTGAGGAGCTGCAGGGCGGTGCCTCCGCCATCGATGAACCTCCTCTGGTAGCCGTTCCTCAGCTGGCCGAGATTGCTGGTCTCCAGGAGATACTTCTCGGCGGCATAGGCGCCCAAGTGGGTGGTCGGGTACATCATCGTGGAGGTGGTCAGCTTCCCGTTGGCATAGTCCGCGTTCTGACCGGCAATCGAGGTCCTTTCGCAGAGGCGGTGGTGACCCAGAATGGGGTTCACCATCAGGTCGTCCTTCTTGGCCGGAGTGAACAGCTTGTCCATGTCGTTGAGGTCCGAGACGGAGCTCTTGGTCTCCGAGATGACGGAGTCGCTGGACTTGACCATCTTCATCAGATACGGACTGTTGGTCCGCGACGGGGAGTTCAGATTGCTGTGGCACCTCAGGCAGAGTTGGGTGAGAGGCTCGTTGAGTCCCGATCCCTGGAGCTGCAGCTGGTGGGGCGTCTGGGTGGCCACCGAGTAGGAACGGGACACGTCCGCCAGGACCTGCAGGTCCTGCTTGCTGCACTGGCACGTGTCGCAGTGCTTCACCTCGTTCGCCTTCAGCTCGTCCTCCAGAAACTTGGCCATTATGGTGGGCGAAATCATGTCGGGATTGGTTGCATTGTTATTATTGTTGCTGATGCTTCCGTTGCTCTGATTGCTGCATTTGTTGTTGCTGCTCGTGCTGTTGTTGTTGTTATTGTTGTTGTTGCTAATGGTGTCCTTGGTGTTGCTTGTGGGCTGAGTTGACTGCTGCTGAGGACTTGCGACCGCATTCCCGTTGGCGGCATCTAAATTGGGGATAGATATTTAAATTAGTAGAGCTACTAGGAAGAAAGGTTTAATAAATATGATATATTTATAAGTAATTGCAAACAAATTGGATTGGGGAAAATAAATGTTAAAGGTAGTTAAAAAAGCTTGTTAAGTAAACTTAAATTACGGTTTTGTGCAATTCATTTCGCTTCGAAGAACTTAATATTCACAATTTCTACAAGAAAAGACAAAGCCAGCAAAATCGATATAAATTAGACTCAATGAAAACTAGTTTACTCCAATTTGACTATGTTGTTGAGCTCGACTACAAAAGAGCTGTGTGCAAAAAATTTGCCTCGCAAAATATGCACATATTAAAACTAACAAAAATTTCCCAAATTGATCAACAAAAGTTTCTGGCCACAATCATGCCTCTGCAGCATTTCGGACAACAATATGTTTTCGGCAAAACATGTAAACATTTCCGAGAGCGAGTCGGAAAAACTATGCCAAGAATTATTCTGCAGCAGTTTCAAATTGCAATTATGACAACAAAAACGGAAAACAATGAAGCGAAAAAGGGAAATAATATATACAAATTAAATTGGAGCGCAGGCAATTAATGCAAATGAACAAAACCGATGAGGAATGAATGCCAATGCAGAGCACAATGATGTGGAATACGAGCAATTATACAGCAGCAATCAAATTGTAAGCTACTGCCAATCAAATAAGTGAAATCAGAAATTAAAAAATAAATTTACCCCGTGGATCTAACATCTACCAATTCTAGGATTGCTATTATTCTATAGTTTCAATGGTTAAACAAAATACTCTTCTTAAATTAAATGAAATAAGGTGGATGAAATCAAAGGGTGAACTTAACGCAGTCTTCGTGATTCAGTCGGGTGCCTAGAAAACGTAAATCAACAAACGAAACGTAAATCAAAATGCGAAATCAGTTGGAAATCGGGGAGAAATCAAAGGGTTCAACATGGTCTACTAACACCTACCGATTCCCCGCATCGAGTAAACCATGGCCGTGGGCGGGAAGGGGCAGGCGGAGGGGGGCGGCGAGTCGGAGGCCGGAAGCACTTTGTAGGAAGCTGTGGTGGCCACGCCCACTCCGCTGTTGCTGCACTCGGAGTCGGAGTGGGAGTTCGTCTCCAGTCGCATGTACGCCGACACCTTCGATTGGATATCAATGGGTAGCTGCATCGAGAGAAGTCATTTAGAGCGATTTCTACCTAGAAGGGGGGTTTGGGGGAGGGGAGATTACTATATATATATTGGATACGAACCGAGGACACTTTTTGGGACACGAAACTATCCGGCTTGCACTGCAGCAATTGGATGGCCAGGCTAATGTCGGCCTTGTAGCGTTCCTGTGCAGGAAGAAAAGAGAGCGAGAGGACACAGATAAGAAAGCGTCACGGAAGTGGTACAACGACCAGGATTACACTGGGAGAAATATATGCTATAGTCTTAAAAGTAATGTGCATTTCTATTGTAAAACCTTAAGATTTATTTCCCTATAAAATACTGAATAGAACCTCAAGCACTGGTTGTGTAATTATAGTTATTATTATTTCAAAGCTCCGATACACATTTTGTATTTTAAGGAACTTTTTCCAGTGAATTTATTATCGTGCGGTTGGTTGGTTGGCAGTGTGTTTGCATGGGTTAGTTTGCGAGTGTAGCTTCTTGCTTCTTTTGACACTTTTCGTATGCAAATGTCAAATATGTTTGCTGTTCGTTTTGTTTCACTCGACTCCTGCCACTGCGAAAGTTCACTTGCCGCGTCCTCTGCCCCAAAAACCCTTTTACACATTGTTAAGCAAACTTTTTTCAAGGGGTATGGCTGTGATTTAGGGGTGTTGGGGATTGTTAAGATTGCATTTTTAATTGGATATTTTAAATTTGTAAAGGCTAATAGTTCTTTTCCTTACTTGGCTAAAATATAAAAAGAATATTTTTCAGATAAATTTTATTTATTCTTTTTAAAATGAAAAGGATACAATCACTTCAAGAACAGGTAACTATTTCCTATTGCCTAATATTCAAAGTTTAGAAATACCTTTTTATATTTAATACACTATTTGTGTATACTCTTAGTGTTAACTATTTCCAGGATACTTGGCAACCGATATCCTTACCCTCTGAGGACAGCCTTCTTAGTTCGGTTCGCTGTTGCTTTTGTGAATTTTGGTGTCAGCGGCAGGGCCTCAAAAAGTTCGCTCCTGTTTTGCTTTTGTGTTTGCTTTTTCCCTTTATTTTTGTGGCACACACGAACACACAATCACACACACCCAAACACACACACACATACAAACAGGAGGAACTTTCAGATGCCTTTTTAAATTTTCACAAATGCGATGCACTCGAACTTGTTAAACAAGCAACAACAGCCAAGAAAAACAGGGGAAACTGAGCGGGGGAAAATGCTACGACTGCATTGGTGACCCAAATACAACAACACCACAATCCAAATAGCAACAACAACAACAACAACAGCAGCAGAGGCAATGGCTTCGGGGAAAATGGAAAACGCAGGATGGCAGTAACGGCATTTTGCACCACGTTTACCAACACTTACACGCCCCACCGCCCAACCATTTTCCAGCTCCGTTTCGGTTGGTTTTCTCACGCTGCATTTTCACACAACAGGGAAATCCACACGGTAAGAAAACACAAAATCTTTTTTAAACAATTTTTAAACTTAAAAAAAAACTCTAAACAAATATTACATTTAACTCGATTATTTTATATTGCTTTAACTTCCAAAGAATGAAGGAATTTCTCTTTAGACAAAACCCCAATCCCAGTTGTTTTTCCCTGTGCAAGGAAAACAAGGAAGCGCAATGGGGGAAAAATAGGAAAATACGAGTGAGAGCCTCGCAAGGAACTGCGAAATGACGCCGCTTGCATTTTATGTTCATTTTCCCTTATTTTTCTTTGCCACGTCTTCCCTGGCATTTTTATTATTTTGTGTGCTCTCCGGGCTCCGCGCTGCGAGCAATTTTATAAATAGAAAAATGCATAAAAATTGCATGAAATAGGAATGAAATAAATTCCGACTGGGAAACCGGAGGAGGCGGAGGCGGAGGCGGCCACAGCCACTGGGGGCGTGGCAAGTGGCCCGGCTTGGAAGTGGCAGCTAAATAAGCGGATGCATTGATTGAACTCGAAAACGTTGATTGTCAGTTGGGGCAAGAGCGTGAAAGTAATTTCTTTAAGCAGGGCATTATTGTGTTGGGAAATGGAATTCCACTTCCACTCCGAATTGATTGATGGATTACAGCCACAGCTTATTCGTGCTGCACTCGTTTGTACTCGCTTGTTGGTTTCCTATTGCCAGTCATAAGCTTTCCGATTATTTTCCTTGGAATGCACTTCTGCTGAAATGCAAGAAATTTCAGATTTTTCCTTTAAATTTTGTACAGTATTTGAACAAAAATGAACTGGATTTTAAGGTATTTGTAAATGCAGTAAAGCTATTTAACTACAAGCACTACAAATTTGGCATGTTTTTACTGCCCAGCTCTTTGAAATTAAACTCCCGCAGATCGTATCTCTTTGATCCCTTAACAGTTTCGCCAACTTGATTGACCCATTTTTGCGGAGATGCGCGTCTCTTCAATCCAGTTTAGTGGCGCAGCTGCAGCCATAAAGAAAGCCACCCGGAAAACCACCCGGAAAACCCCCGTCATTGCATCGCCTGCCATTGGCAGCCCTTCAGAACCCATTTGCCCAACTGGCCTAAGCACGTTCGATACTCGGCGAATGCAAAATAAATTCCCAGCTTTGCACTCTTTAATGAAGAGCTTCGAGCTTCGAGCACTCCATCAGCAGTCCGTGCTTCAAGGACTGCAAGGACCTGGGCGCTAAATTTAAAACGTGCCACGGCCGGCCATCGATTCGAATCGGTTTTAATTAAAAGCCGGCTCCCCGCCTCCTCCACATATTTAGAATTGCGTGATTGCAGTGCAAAGTGCATGTCGGGGAAGTAATAAAGATAATTGAATCATTAGCGTGTGTAAGCTAATTGTATGCATTTAATTAGCAGCCCATAAAATCCCCTTGCCCGAAATCAACTTCGACTACGATTCATATAGATGCTGGCACTGGACCCAAATCAAACATCATCAAAGAGGGCTTAATTGCCAGAGAAGTGCGGTGGGGGAAAATGCTTTTTATGGCGAATAAAAAGGGAGCGGCGAAAGCAACGAAACAATGCGCTGTTAAGCATTAAAAAATTCTTTAAATTCCTGCAGCTTAAATGTTTTTACATACAGCAAGTTCCATTTCCGATATCCGTGATATGTAATTACTTATATTCCCAACGCTTATTTGCCATAATTTTTTGTAAATACTGCAATATCCTCTCGAATGCAGTCACCCCGTAGCCTTAATTAATTCACCCATCAGATTCCCCTGCCATATTGTATGCGACATTAAATTCATTGCATACTTTGCGGCTGCAGGCGCGCGGAAAACCCGCAATGAAAAGGGAAAAGCGCGGAAAAACGAGAGTGGAACGTTCCGCGGCAAAGGAAAAGCGTAGCACATTCGTAGGCCGCAAGTCTGATTGCCTTTTGTCGCTCTGTTTGTGCGGCTTCCACAACCCAGTGCTCCTCCGCTTTTTTCGCAGGTTCCCTTTTTTCCGGTGGCTTAGAGTCCGTCACGGCTTTTGTGCAATTTCACGCTTGTTTGCTGACCAACAGCTGACCGCAAGCCAAAACCAGAGCTCCTGGAGAGTAGGAAAACCGGTTTGCCGACCGGGAAAAAGGGAAAACCAAGGGGGAAACTCAAAAGAGGTGGCATGCATGTGCGCTCGCCATTTGCGGTGGCTTTTGATTCGGCAATAAAACGCGATGACAGGCGACAATTGGCGCCAGTTTGTGAATAGCATGCAAAATTGTCAAATAGCTGCGAGGTGCCAGCTTCATAATGAATAATAAATTAGTTATGGCGGGCAAAACAATCAAATTGGGGCAAAGGAAATTACACATTAGCTGTGAGTTTTCGCGACTGGCCAATTAGTGAAATCAAATAAAGCGCTGCATGCGAAAAACCCCATTGCAGTTTGGCGGTCATAAACTTTTTTATAGCTGACATAAAATTCGGTTTAACTAGCAGCACGAGTTTAATTGTTTTCAAATTGTTTAATTCAAGTTTAAAAATTTTGGGAGCGACATAGTTGGATAACTGCCGGCCATAAAAGTGGAAACCGATTTTGGCTGTTTAAATTACCAACATGGATGTTTCCAGCATCTCAATTAACAACTACGCAGTTCCGATTAGACCCGCATAAACATTTGGCCCCTCCCCATTTCCCCTATTTTCCTGGGTGGAAAACGTCGCTAGGAAAAGCAAGTTGGAGCTCTGTTTGTGTCATTTGGTCCACGAGAGATTTCCGCCCCACAGACACACACATGTTAACCCACAGCCAACGATGCATGTGCACAAATATTATGGTTAATTATGTGGCACAGTTTTCCCACAGAACAGAGAACGGAGAATAGAGAACACGGCAATTTCCCGACTCTAATTAACATTTTTCCGTGCGCTGCCACGCCTTTTTTGTGCGAACGCGAATGCGAATGCGAAATCGCCGTCTTTAAGTTCGACCAACCGCAAAATCAAAACCACAAATGCAAATGCCAACTAAATTATGAGAAAATTAATTTCCACAGATGACAGCCGCAACAACAAGAGCTGCAGAATTGCATAGTAAATTAAGTTACTGCAAAGGGGTTTTGGCTCAGGGGCGGCTGAATCTAATTAGTTGCTCAAAAGCCCAGCCATCGTTCAGGGTTTAGAGGGGGTGGTGCGGTGGTGCGTTGGTGGGTTAGGCCCTGGGTGGTGGTGCTGCACCCAACCAGCAAGTGGGTGATGGACTGCCGGCAGATAGACGGAGACAGGCATTTGAGCTAAGTGAATCTGCATGTCATTCATGTCAGGACATTTAGTGCAGCAGGATGCGTCGAGATGAGCTTGTTTCACTGCGGGAAAACTCCAGCCAGCTGGATGAACATATGTGTTTAGTTCTGTGAATACAACTATGAAATACAATTATGAGATATAATTATGAAATATAATTAGGGAAAAACCAAGTTGTAGTAGGGAAATCACAGGAAGGTCACAGGGAATATCTTTTTACTCTACTTTCATTTTCTGAAAACTAAAGTAATGTCATTTCCCTGGGCAATTTTCCCGAGTGCCTGCTAGCTGCTTATGCATCTGCCCAATTAGTTTCAGCCTGGTTGCACTCCGGCATTCGGATTTATGTGATTAATCAGGAAGGAACAGAGCATCCCCATCCCCCGTTTGGACTAGGACAACGGCTACAATCAAAATCCGGGTAATCTGGAAAAAACTAGCT